CGGGCACAAGTTGGAACATAAGAGGTTCCACTCAAATATGAGGAGAAACTTCTTCACAGTGAGGGTGACAGAGCCCTGGAACAGGCTGCCCAGGGGGGGTGTGGAGTCCCCTTCCTTGGAGATTTTCAAGACCCTCCTGGATGCAGTCCTGAGTAACATGTTCTAGCTCTAGGCAATCCTGCTTCAGCAGGGGAGTTGGACTAGATGATCTCTATGGTCCCTTCCAACTCTAAAATTCAGTGAAATTCAGTGAAATTCTCATGTGTTTTAGGCAGGTGACAGCTGCCACCTCTTTTATCACGGGATGTTCTATGATCATGCACTGGGGACTTTACGGTGACAATAGTTCACTGCTGCTGCTGCACATGCTGAATGTCTGGTCTGGGCAGGTCTTTCCTGCCCAGTATGGCCAGGATTTTTATTCTAATTAAAGCACGTAGAAGGTAAGAAGGAATAGAGATCTGCTAAGATTACTTTTAAAGAAGCTTTCACTTAAGAACTCTTATAACTAATCAGGCTGCAGTACATTTCCACAAGGGTAGCCCTGTAGGAGAAAAAAATGCAGATGATACTCTGCAAACAGTGGAATTAACGAGTGCAAAGTTCGTTTTTCGCTCTTCACGCACAACAGCTTGTAAAATGAATACGTGATGTCTACGTCCATAAGATTACTTTTAAAGAAGCTTTCACTTAAGAACTCTTATAACTAATCAGGCTGCAGTACATTTCCACAAGGGTAGCCCTGTAGGAGAAAAAAATGCAGATGATACTCTGCAAACAGTGGAATTAACGAGTGCAAAGTTCGTTTTTCGCTCTTCACGCACAACAGCTTGTAAAATGAATACGTGATGTCTACGTCCACCAAGCAGAATACTGGAAATTCAGCTCTTCGTTAGGGAGTAGTTGAGAAAGCAGTGATTTAATTTTGTAAGTGGTTACTTTAGCGGAGCAAGAATGAAGATATTTTTAGTGACTGCTGTGCAATAAGCTCTAATGTGAGCAGAACAGTGAGAAAAATTACAAATAGCAGGAATGACTGATTTGTCAGTTGTCAGCCTGGGGTAATTCCCCTGAAATGCCTTCCCCCGTGCTGACTGGAACTGCACCACCCAGAAGAAGAATCCAGCTGCTGGTTGTTGTTTCCCAGGTATTATTCTCTAGGAGCAATAACCATGGTCCCTTCACACAGGACACTTCCTGGGGATTAATGATCAGGTGGTGGTGATGGCTCACAGCTGAGCTCGGAGCACTCTGCTCATCCCAGCCTGTCATTAGTCCCCAGAAAATTACCCTGCCCTTTGGCTGTAAAGATAAATTACAGTGCAAAAAAAAAAAAAAATCAAAATCAAATTAAATACGGATTCACGTCCTTAAACGTTAAGTGGGGGACATCCGGTGTAAAAGTGGCTCTGCATCTTTTTAAAACAACCCTCTAAAACCAAAATGTATTTTAAATAACTCTCCAAAAGCTCCTCGGAATAGAGATAATCTTGTTGGGACAAGATTTGCCAGGAGCACTTCCTAAATTGTTGTTTGGCAACATGGCAAATGAAAAGGAACTGCTTGTCTTTGAGTACTTGTGATGTCATCCTTGGTGGTGACTTTAAGTAATCAACACACAGCAAGAGAATTAATTCCCAGAGGGTGGGAACCACGTTGATTATAAGATGTTTAAAACACACTTTGTGCACTGCCTCCTGCCTGGTTCAGATACACTCAACCAAAACAAAACAAACCACAAAAAACAAATCTTGTTTCTCGATTTATTTTTATTTTTTAATTTATTTTTTTTAAGTCAGTCATCCTACAATACCTCATTAAATATAAATCCCTATAAATGATAAGGCAGGCATGACTGCCCTTGCTGTAACACTTAGAGCAGACTCTCTTTATTCATATCGTTAATCTCTCAGGGCAGGAGAATTTGCAGTGTTAGTGCTGTTAAGTCTGTGAGCTCTTCCTGTAACAGCAGCTGAGCTGTTCCAGTCAGTAGAAATAGGCAAGAAATTTTGTGGTGGTTTTGTTTTTACCAAGGAAACTGAGGATGTAATTCTCTTTTCCTTCTTTTTTAAAAAAAAAAAAAAATAGGGGAAGATGCCCTATAGAAGCTCAGCTCTTCCTGTAACAGCAGCTGAGCTGTTCTAGCCAGTAGGAAACTGAGGATGTAATTCTATTTTCCATCTTTTTTTTTTTTTTTTTTTTTTTTTAAATAGGGGAAGATACCCTATAGAAGCTCTCCTTTTCCTTTAAGTTACATGCTGAATAATAATTATGCCAAGAATATATTAAATGGCCAGAAAAGACAAATAGGAGCAGACAAGTAAAACTCTGTAGTAATTACATGGTTTTACCGAGTCTTCTCCTTCAGTTAAATCAAGAGAAGGTGCAAGAATTCTTTGCTCAAGAAGTTCCCTGTGATACTCTTTGTGGTGTTACGATTCTCTCTAGATATGTCACCAGAACCCCATATACCCCGTAACCTCCCACTTGGTCATCATCTTTGTCCTTATGCAAATGAACCCCATATACCCCGTAACCTCCCACTTGGTCATCATCTTTGTCCTTGTGCAAACGGAGGAAACCTGCCCTCCTGGTTACTCCTACAAATATTAAGTTTCCAAGTTGGTTTGTTGTTGTTAGCCTGTTGGTTTTGTTAGTTTTGGTAATGTGGAAAATAGTTTGCAGTCAAGAACATGTTTGAGGCAGCTGTTATTCGAGTGCTATCAAGAAATATAAAAAGTGCTTAAATGGATGGGCTTCAAATCTTCCTAAAAGAGGGATTTTTAAAAACACATCACTTGCTAAAAATTGTAGATAACAATTTCATCGATTTCCTGGGTGAAACGGTTTTGTATAATTAATGTGTTTTGATCTTTGTGTGTATGCCTCTTACTTTCCTCAACTTCCAAGGCCAATTAATGGGCCTTCTGATTTTAGCTTGATTGTTTTCTCTTCCGAATGTAATCAAAACTCGTGTCAGTGCAGATACTGAGCTAGTCTGTCAGACCAGTCATCGGGTACACGGCTTTTTCAGAACCACCAGTTGCATAAAAACGTGCCAGAAAAATGTTATTACTTATTACTACCCAGTTACGTGACACATTTCGAAGAAATTATTAGTTTACAAATGGAAAAGTCCATGAGTGCCTATTGAAATTGTATCCTTACTATATGTGTGGCCAAGCTAATGTATCAAATGATGGTTCTGACTTGAGAATTGCTCTTTCCTCTGTGTATTAATCCTTTCTTTCTTTTCTGTCTTTCTCGGCTGTTTCTGTTCCTGCTGGCTTTCCTCTCTCAATTCTCCAATGCTCCTCTGTCGTTAAAATTGATAAATAACAAACCCAACCAACACCGTAGTTATCCCCATTTGTCCCCGTTCAGCGTCTTGCAGCCCCATCAGCCCTCTGTCCTACAAGGCCATGAACTGTAGATACGCAGGAGATCGAGCCAAACTTTATGCCTCCACTGATGCTGTTGGACGTAGGAGAACACCAGGGGTAAGTATGGAGGTGGTACGTCCATCACTGCCCCATTGCATTGCTTGTTAGGGTAGGAGTAGTCACAAGGACACTAGAACATCTCTCTGATGAGGAAAGGCTTGAGGAACTTGGGTCTTTCTAGTCTGGAGAAGAGAAGGCTGAGGGGGGATCTGATCAACACCTATAAATACTTAAAGGGTGTGTGTCAGGAGGATGGGGCCAGTCTTTTTTCAGTGGTGCCCAGGGACAGGACAAAAGGAAACGGGCACAAACTTGAATATAAGAAGTTCCATCTCAACATGAGGAGGAACTTCTTGACTTTTGAGGGTGGCAGAGCCCTGGAACAGGCTGCCCAGAGAGGTGGTGGAGTCTCCATCTCTGGAGACATTCAAAACCCACCTGGACACGTTCCTGTGCAACCTGCTCTGGGTGGCCCTGCTTTGGTAGGTGTTTGGACTAGATGATCTCCTTCCATCCCCATATCATTCTGTGATTCTATGACACTTGATGAAGGCCCATCCTCCCCTCCACGCTGTCCTCACCCCCTTCAGTTTGTTTCATAGATTTTAACTGGAATATTATCACATGATGACGTGGTCTGATTATGCACCAAAGAATCCACGTAGAAAAATGGAGAATCATTCTGTTTTATAAACTTTTATAGGAATTCAGGTTTTTACTGGTTTTAAGAAAAAATTTCTGATGCTCTAGATCCAGTATAGAGAGTTATTGCTAAGGAGCCAAAATTCATCTTTGATTTAATGTGTTTATTCTGGCTGTGTATGCTTTGAATAAGTCAGGTGATTATCGTCGTATTAATCAGCAGGGATCTGGTAAATTATACAGCCAAAGACCTGGCTAATTACTCTTGAGTAATGACTTCAGGATAGAGACCATCTGTTGCTGATACTATGGTTTGGGCAATTTGAAATAATCGCTGTTTTATAAACTTTTATAGGAATTCAGGTTTTTACTGGTTTTAAGAAAAAATTTCTGATGCTCTAGATCCAGTATAGAGAGTTATTGCTAAGGAGCCAAAATTCATCTTTGATTTAATGTGTTTATTCTGGCTGTGTATGCTTTGAATAAGTCAGGTGATTATCGTCGTATTAATCAGCAGGGATCTGGTAAATTATACAGCCAAAGACCTGGCTAATTACTCTTGAGTAATGACTTCAGGACAGAGACCATCTGTTGCTGATGCTGTGGTTTTGGCAATTTGAAATAACTAATTACTCTTGAGTAATGACTTCAGGATAGAGACCATCTGTTGCTGATACTATGGTTTGGGCAATTTGAAATAATCGATTTTTAACCATAATGACCAAAAAAACCCAAACCCCTCTTGGATTTATGAAGATAAACAAAGCGGGGCAGGGGGAATAAGAAGGAATAAGAAGAAATTGCCAATAGGTGTAAGAATCAATGGCAAAAAAAGTACATGCTGTGGAATCATCCAAGAGAAAAAAAGAGTAGAGCAACTATTGCGCCACATCTGAGGGCTTTGAGGGCACCTGTGGTGGTCAGATATAAGGCAGGAGAGCAAAAAGTGGTGCTCTACAGGGACTGTGACTAAGTGGGAGACTGGGGGAGGAATGGGGAGAAGGGGGGAGTGTTTGGTTCTTTCTTCAAATGAAACCCAGGGTTTATGGGGAGTAGTGGAAGGTTCTTTGTGGCAATCCATAAAGATCAAATCTTAAAAGGTCATTTTCTACCTCTGTAAAAACGAGGCTCTGCAAAGTAGCCCATTGCATCTTAAGACAGTAATGAAGATAAAGAAGGATTTTTGTTGTCAAATGCATATTTACTGAGAAAGGTGGTGGGTATTACAGGCACTATATTAAAGAACTTGTAAAACAGACTAAACTACTGACTCAGCACAGCTTCTTCTCAGCCCCTCATCCTTAACCGAGCTCGCTTTGCTTTCTTTAGCAGTCTGAACCCTGCCTTGACTTTGTCTTTGTTTGTTCGTTTGTTTGCTGAACTACAGACTGACAAAAAAGAAAAGGAAAGAGGCCATTTGTCATCCAGCTTCTCAGCCAGCTTTAAAGGAGGTCATTTCTCTCCCAACCCCAAAGCTAGATCTCCGGCTCCCTCTCCAGTCTGGTAAGCCAAGTACACACCACTCAGCTGGAGGTTGAGCTCCAGGTGGCTCCAATTTGTGCTATTACTTCAACGTGAAACACTGCAAATTTCTGTGGTGATGTGGGTGTTTTCTCTCTGCAGCGAAGGAATAGTCCTGCTTTTAGAAAAATATTGCTACTGCTTTGAGGAAGGGGAAGAAGGAGGAACTTCAAGGCCAGGCTGGATGGGGCTTGGAGCAACCTGGTCTGGTGGGAGGTGTCCCTGCCCAGGGCAGGGGGTTGGAACTCAATGATCATTAAGGTCTCTTCCAACCCAAACCATTCGATGACTCTATGAACTCGCACATCTGGAGAGTTGCAAAGAGAAGCATTTTGCACGAAAACTAATAATTTGCTCCAGCAGTCCTGCCTGATGGCAGAGAAATGAAGAAGCTGTTTTATTCCTAGCTGTTGTAGTTGTAGAGGTGACGTGTAGGTTGTGTCCAGCAGAGCGTGTCTGATGGTGACTGTCACTCTTTGTGGTTCACAGGCACGCGTCAAAGTCTTTGCCTTTCTTACCTGGCACACCCCGGCAGATAACTTCTCCACCTGGCTCCTCCAAAGCTTCCTCAGCTCAGGGACGGCCTCCTTCTCCTGGCAACATCCGGCCAGTCAAAAAAGAGGTTAAACCAGAGAGTGAGAAGAAAAGACCAGAAAAGGAAACCGAGAAGGCCAACGAGGAGAGGACAGAAGAGAATAAAGGAACTTCCGCAGGTGCTGGAGAAGCTGCAAGTCAGGAAGAGCTCACTGTCCAGGCAGAGCTTCCTCAAGGTATGGAGAGATTCTCCTTTAGGATAAGGAGTGTCTGAGTGTCTCTTAGGTTCTTCCTGCCCTTTCTCTGATCCAGCCTAGCTCCAGTAGTTTTCTGTCAAGTGCTGGTTTAAGTTCTTCAGAACATTCCTGCAGGTGTATGGTCATTCTGAGGAAGGTGTGAAGAGGTTGAAGCCCTCCTGCTTGTAACCATCTGCTGTGGCTTCACAGCCCTCTTCTCTGCCCATCTGGACTGGGAATTTGTCCCTCCCATCACGATGCAGCTTCTTTTCAAACTGTTGAAGTAGGATAATAACGATCTGAAGAGTAATGGGAGCCATGGCATAAGGTAGTGTGAGAGGTGAGAGTGTCCAGGTACAGTCCAGGTGACCAAGAGAAAGTGAAATGCAGAGGAGAGCCAAGGAGAAAAGAGGAATAGGCAAAATTTTTCAGGGAAAACGAATTATTTAAAAAAAAAAATTATCCAACAGCCAAAATAACCCCACACCAACCCTGAAAATGGGCAGAATGGCCATTGTGACCACTGGGATTCCCAGGATTCTGAATTGAACATTCATAGATTCTCCCTCAATGGTCCGTCAGAAAACAGTTTTAAGTATTAATAATCCTGCATTTAACTGCAAGGTGTGTAGTTGGGGTTGATCTTCTGTGGGAAGACCTGATCTGAATTGATATCTTTTGTTCTGAAGGCAAACTCACAGAAACATGAACTAGTGTTTTATTTGAGGAAAAAACCTGCAACACCTTCTCTTCCAGGTGGCCAAAACTGGTCTTGGGTAAAGAATCTACACGAAGGTGCTGTTAAGATTTGAACACAAGCCGTAGTTGACCAATAGTGGCAGAGCTTGTTGAGAAGCTGTGTTCTGGTCCCAGGGGTTGCCACAGGCTGGAGAAACTGCAAAATTGGTGATTTGGTCCTACCCGTGTTGCAGATCACTTCAGACAGTCGATGCTTGAGATGGTGAAGTCCCCAAAAGTGACTGGTCTGTCACCCCAAGGTCTGGCTCTGCTCTTCAGATGTAGACAATCAGACAGAAGAAAGTTGAATATGAGAATGTTTCACTTCTGCTCCCCAGACAGAATTGGGCAAACTTCAGGAGTGTGATGGTGGGGACTTGCTGAGTCAGTGTAACTCCTGTTGAGCACCCCTCAGCATTTCTTCTTTTGGCAGAAGAGTTGGCTTCACCTGTCAACTGCAGCTGCTTTCACATGTCCTGTATAAATAAACTTCCCTAAGGAACACGAAACCCTAGCATCTAGGAACGTCTTCCTCCTCTGAGTCATTTCTAAAACCACAAAGTTTGGAAATATTTCAGAGTATTTGAAACTATTTTCTGTTCCTTTCAAGAGTGTCACCTTGGCTGCTGTGTCGGTACAAACTGGTTTTCCTTCCTGTCTGTTTCAGCAGCCAGCCCGTCCCTACCTCCTGCTCCACCAGCTCCTTCTCCAGCCCCCACAAAGACCTCTGCGGGGACCACCGACCCTGAAGAAGCCACCAGGCTGCTGGCTGAGAAGAGACGCCTCGCCCGGGAGCAGCGGGAACGGGAGGAGCAAGAGAGGAGGGAACGAGAAGAGCTGGAAAGGTGATTCTGGGCCTCTGCAGTGGAGAAAGATGTGTTTTTAGCATCCTCCTCATGACCCAGCTGAGCCGTTTTGGTGCTCTTACGAATGAGAGAGCAGTGCAAGCTTTATCCAGCTGCTGGAATCTTGGGTTTCAGGAAAGCTGCCCGGAAGAAAAGGACCTGGGGGTGTTGGTAGACAGCAGGCTTAACATGAGCCAGCAGTGTGCCCAGGTGGCCAAGAAGGCCAATGGCATCCTGGCTCGTATCAAGAATAGTGTGGCCAGCAGGAGTAGGGAAGTCATCGTGCCTCTGTACTCAGCACTGGTGAGGCCTCACCTTGAGTACTGTGTTCAGTTTTGGGCCCCTCACTACAGGAAAGACATTGAAGTGCTGGAGCGTGTCCAGAGGAGAGCCACCAAGCTGGGGAGGGGCCTGGAGAACAAGTCCTATGAGGAGAGGCTGAGGGAACTAGGCATGTTTAGTTTGGAGAAGAGGAGGCTGAGGGGAGACCTCATTGCCCTCTACAACTACCTGAAAGGAGGTTGGAGAGAGGCAGGTGTTGGCCTCTTCTCCCAAAGGACGAACGACAAGACCAGAGGAAATGGTCTGAAGTTGCGGCAAGGGAGATTTAGATTAGATATTAGAAAGAACTACTTTACTGAGAGAGTGGTCAGGCACTGGAACAGCCTGCCCAGGGAGGTGGTGGAGTCACCATCCCTGGAGGTATTTAAGAAACGTATAGACATGGCTCTTCAGGGCATGCTCTAGTGCCCAAGGTTATTGGTTTATGGTGAGGTGTTGAGTGTGGGGTTTAGTTGGTGGGTGCGGTGTTTTTGGTGGGCGTTTGGTGTGGTGTGGTTTGTGGGTTTTTTTTGTTTGGTTGGTTTTTTTTTTTGTTTTTTGTTTTTTTGTGGTTGGACTCGATGATCTCAGAGGTCCCTTCCAACCACTAAGATTCTGTAATCTGCTGGTTTGGGTTTTTGCCATCCTTTGGGGTTTTTTTGGTCATTTTTCTTGTGCTTGTTTGAGGGTGGTGAGACACTGGAAGAGGTTGCCCAGAGAAGCTGTGGCTGCCCCATCCCTGGAGGGGTTCAAGGCCAGGCTGGATGGGGCTTGGAGCAACCTGGTCTGGTGGGAGGTGTCCCTGCCCAGGGCAGGGGGTTGGAACTGGATGATCTTTGAGGTCCCTTCCAACCTGAACCATTCTATGACTCTATGATTCCATGCTTGCAGGCAGAAGAAGGAGGAGCTGTCGCAGAGGATAGCTGAAGAAAGAGCTCGCCGAGAAGAGGAGGAAGCTCGCAGGAGGAGTGCGGAGGAGGAGAGGGAAAAGGAAGAGCGGCTGCGCCGACAGGCAGAGGAGAGGGAGCAGAAGGAGAAAGAGGAGATGGAGCGCCTTCAGAAACAAGTATGTGGCCCCCCCTCTAGGAACTTCTGTGCCAGCCTGGTTGGCTGCGAAGTGGATGAAGCAACTCCTCTTACGCAGCACCCAGATTTTACCTAAAATATCTAAAATTTCAGTGCTATCCCTAAAGTGAACAGGATTGTAGCAGAGTTCATTCCATAAAGTGGTTCAAAGAGCAAAGATATTTCTTCTTGGCAAAAACACGTGGTAGGGAGTTGAGTCTTGTTTGGGTTTTTTTTTCTTTGCAGAATTTTTTTATTTAGAACAAATCCTTTCCTGTTCCTGATAAATCGTGATGAAAAAAATCAATAGGGTTGTTTTGGGGGATTCTAATGGATGATGTTAGGAGCACCTCTCCTAGGAAGACAGGCTGAGAGTTGGGGGGGTTCAGCCTGGAGAAGAGAAGGCTCCGGGGAGACCTTAGAGCCCCTTCCAGTCCCTGAAGGGGCTACAGGAGAGATGGGGAGGGACTGTTTGCAAGGGCATGTAGCAATAGGACGAGGGAAAATGGTTTTGAACTAGAGCAGGGTAGATTGAGGTTAGACATTAGGAAGAAGTTCTTTACAATGAGGGTGGTGAGACACTGGAACAGGTTGCCCAGAGAGGTGGTGGAGGCCCTGTCCGTGGAGATACTCGAGGTCAGGCTGGATGGGGCTTTGAGAAACCTGATCTAGTTGATGTCCCTGCTTATTGAAGGGGGGTTGGACTAGGTGACCTTTAAAGGTTCTTTCCAACCCAAAACGTTCTATGATTCTATGTTATAGCAGAGAACTCTTTGTGGCCACGGTTACAGAAAGTGTAGATCCCAAGATAAGTGACTGCTCAAAGTGCTGGAGACACGGCGCTGTTGTGTTCTAACCCTACGTCCAGCGGTGCCATTGTGGGGGAAGTGGGAAGGAGCAGGTTTTGACCACTTCAGTCAAGCCAAGGAGAACCTTTACCTGGTGCAGTCCTCCTGAAATCAGAGCAGCTGCTTAAAGGACATGAAAGTAAATAAATCAAAATACTATTTTTCAAGCGCTCTCATTTTTTGATGGGCATAATGTTGGTGTTCTGGCGTCAGGGGAGGCTGTGGTAAGCAGTTTGGGTAGGATTCTTCTTGCACATGCTCTTACTTTATGTAGGCGCTTTCTTGGCCCCAAAATTCAGCACTTCAATCTGCTTCAGAGTCATTAGCTTTTTTCTTCTGGTAAATAATCACATGGACGCTTCTGAAAATGAAAGTTTAAAGGATTGTGTTAGTGAATACAGCTTAGAAACTACAATTCACTTTTCCACAAGGCGTGTGCTGCTTTCTTTGAAGTGCTAAACTGAGATGCATCCCCAGTTTAGCTCTCAAATAACAGTTGGCCAAGTTTTTTTGGGTGTTGCAGCCTCAACAAATGCACTGTTGCGGTAGTTCCATCATACAACACTGTCAGTGTCAGGGAGCAAGGTCTGTCTGTGGTATATTCCAGACCAGTGTTATATTTAATCAGGAATGGAATGGGAAGCTTGTGCAGATGTTCCTCTGGCTGTTTGTTCTTGGTCTCCTTAAGCAATGACTCCGTTGGCCAAGTAAAACATTCTGCTGCTTCTCTTTGACTCTCAAAAATATCCATGGCTCAAAAGGTGAATCTCTTGAATACTTTCCTGGCTGCTGGTTTGATGGTGAGGGTTAGGAAATGTATCCCTCATTTGTCACCTGGGCTGCTTTCATCCACGTGCCCCAGAAAAGGCACAGAACCAAATATGATGACCCTTGTTTAATTACTCATCTCTTAATGCTGCGCAAAACATGGAGATTAATCGAGAAATGTGCAATTCAGTCTGAAAAGATTCTTGGGGACTTGTAAACCCCGAAGGTGTCTTTTCAGGGTATTGTAGGTATGCATAGTTAAGAAAATACCATATAAATCTGTCCTTAAATGGTAAATTATTCTTCATTTCTTTTTCTCAGAAGGAAGAGGAAGCTCGCCTACGGGAAGAGGCAGAGCGGATTCGATTAGAACGTGAAAAGCATTTCCAAAGAGAAGAGCAAGAGCGCTTGGAAAGGAAGAAGGTAACTCAGGACATGCAGAGAAACTGGAATTAATTTTGCCGTAGCAGTTCGCTTCCACCTCCCTTGTAGAAAGTTATCCCTGATATAAATGTGCCCCCAGAAAAGCTGCCTGAAGGGAGTGTTGCCAACAGTAATAAATAATTCAGCTTTTTGCGATAAACAAATGCAACTGATAAATGAGAAGCAGTTGTGGTTCAGGAGAAATATTTTTAAATTAATGCCAGCAAACATTATTTTATGGAATCACAGAACCATAGAATGGTTAGAGTTGGGAGGGACCTTAAAGATCATCCAGCTCGAACCCCCTGCCCTGGGCAGGGACACCTCCCACCAGACCAGGTTGCTCCAAGCCCCATCCAGCCTGGCCTTGAACCCCTCCAGGGATGGGGCAGCCACAGCTTCTCTGGGCAACCTCTTCCAGTGCCTCACCACCCTCACAGCAACGAATTTCTTTCTGATATCTCATCTAAATCTCCCCTCTTCCAGTTTAAAACCATTCCCCCTCATCCTATGGCTCTCCTCCCTGATCAAGAGTCCCTCCCCATTATTTTACCCCTTGACATTTCATTGCAGAGGCTCGAGGAGATCATGAAGAGAACCAGGCGTGTAGAAGCTGTAGATAAGGTTAGTGCTTCTACTTAACTTGTGTAAATATTGGGCATGTTTCACTTTAGTGCCATTTTTAATTCACAAAACTGTGCTTCCTTTGTAGAAACCCAATGACCAGCAGAATGGACATATATCCAAGGCAAATGTTACCGGAGAAGCAGGTACTGTGTTTAACTGTGCCCCAAGCACAAGGGGTGAATGTGAGAGGAGAATAACTGAAGCCCTAGCAAACATTAGTTAGCCTTTCTCTATAGGTAATTAACCATTACTAAATGAGTCAGCTCTTTTAGCAACTTTGTCACATTGGCGTTCAACCAGAGGGAGTTGCTTTACCAAGTTTATTTATTAAGTGAAAAGAAACAAGTTCTTTTTCTGATTCTGATGGCAAAAGAAACTGATTCTCTCCTTTCTTTTGCACGGTGTTACAGATGGGGTTGTTGCAGACTTATTCCATTTCCTTAAAGGGTGATTTCATCTCAGTCATCAAACCTGAAGTGGGGCTGGTGTGCCCAAAAACTTGACTTGTGGGAACTGTAGCTTTCCTTGACTGTGCTGTCTTTTGTAGGAAATGGTTTAGCTTAATTTTATGTTGCTTGGGTTTATGAAAAGCCATTTTCTCTCTCTAGGGGTGCCTGGTCCTGCGTCTTCCCTGGGACCTGCAGGAGGAACCCAGCTCCAGCCGGAGACGACGTCTCCTCCCCACAACGGGCAG